ACATTCCAGACCCAGAGCACTCCATAGGGCAGCTGGGCCCGGAAGGCCACTTGAGGAGAAGGATGGAGCGAGGGTGAGTGGCGCTGAAGCCCAGTCCCAGGGCAAGGTGGGGTGGAGGAACCCAGGCTGGCCGCATGCTCTGGATGTGACCCCAGTGCTAGGTGGCCCAAGTATGGGCTGTGGCCAGGGCTCAGGCTTCCTGCATGAACGGCGCCTCCACAGCATCCAAATCTGCCCAGTTCCCATGACGCCCGCCTGCCTTGCCCGGTCCCCACGACACCTGCACACTCCAGGGGTTCTGGACCCTCTGCTGATGGTACTCGGCACCTCCCCACCTGCACTTACGCCGAAACCTGCCACCTAGACCTCACGTCGCCCTCTAAGGTGATACCAGGCAGGCCTGACTCAGTTTCTCCCCCAGGGAGGCCCCAGCACATGGCACTGAACCTTCTCTGCCTAGCCTACACTCACCAAGCGCATTTCAACGTCTCTGTCCCTGGCAGCCTCCTGGGGTGACCTGGCTCCAACCGCGTCTCCTGGGGCGGTCAGGTCATCATTCTGACTTCGTCTGCAGAGCGGGCTTGCGGGAACAAGGCGGTGAGAGCCTGCGCAGCTCTGAGCGCACACAGCGGGTGTCGAAAACCCAGGGCAGCAAACGCGCCTAAGGGCTTCCGGCTGCGCCACGGGGTCAAGGGGTCGGTGAGGATCCGGGTCCTCCGCCTGGCGGGGGCCGGTGAAGGCGCAGACGCGGCGGCGGGTACTCTGTGGCCATCGTCTGATTGCTTGCACCTGGGCCCCCGACGCCGGCGGAGGAGCGCAGGGCCGCGGTCCTCGCCACGCAGCACGCAGACCCCCCCGGAATGCCGGCCCGCGGCCTGCTGAACGAGGCTTTGTTCTGAAGCAGCCTCTCCCATACTTCAAACCCAGTCGAGCGGCTTTCAGGCCTCACGGGTTTTAAGGACTCCTGGGCAGTCTGTGTCCCTGAGATCCGCACAGAGGGGCTGAGGGGCCCACAGGCCTGTCCAGGACCCCCGCAGTTCGCATGGCCCCCGGGCCCCCGCTCCTCCAGCCCGGCAAGGCTGCACACTGGAGCTCTCTGGCCTCACAGGGCCCCCACATCTGTCCCCCAAGGGGCCTTCGGGGGCCCTGGGGTGCAAAATGAGGAACCCCATGCTCTGGTATTCATGTGGATCTCTGCTGCTTGGCGTGGCTAAGACTGTCCCGTGGGCACCCTGCAATAGGGGCGGTGTTTGCAGGGACAGAAGCCCCTAAAAGGCAGGTGTGGGACCCCCAACCCAGGGGAGACCCTGCTCCCTCCTCACACTGAAGTCCCTAAGCAGGGGCTCCCTGGGGGGTGGGCACCCCAACCCTCTGTTTCATGCGTCTAGCCACCAGCCCCTCACACGACTCAGGCACGGGCCGACTGCTGGCCCTCACCCCCTCCATGGTAGACCCCCAATCCTAACAAAGCCGCTGCTCCCATGCACCTCAGAGCCCGCCCCTCTCCCCACAGGTGAGAAGCTGCTTCCGCATGGGAAGCGGGTGGGAAGGGTCTGACCCATGAGGAAACTGAGGCCCAGGGAGGAAGGACCTGGCCCAAGGCCACTCAGTGCCAGGGGACAGACAGTTGCTTCGGAGAGGTGGGGTGGCGTAAGCCAGGGCCGGTGAGCAGGTGCTGCCTGGAAGGCAGCTCTGTCACCCCCTCGGGAGAACCCAGCAGCGGCAGTGGCTGTGGTGAGGTCCGGCCTTTGCACGCCGGGCGCCTGGGTTGGGGATGTTCATGCTCTTGGGTCCCTCTGGGTCCCTCACAGGGGCAGCCCTGGGGCCCCCTGGACACCTGCGGGTGGGAACAGCCCTGGGGCCCCCTGGACACCTGCAGATAGGGACACCCCTGGGTCCTGGCTCTGTGTGTGTGTCAGAGGTGCAGGCAGACCCTGGACATGACTGCAGTGAGAGTCCTGGGAGAGGGGAGACTTCGAGCTCTGGAAGGTTCTGAAGGCCACTGGGAGCAAGACCACGAGTGCCACTGGGGAACGGGGCCACCAGCCTGCAGCTGCAGCCCCAGCGTCCTGGGGGCATTGTCCTGGAGCTTTGCAGGCCGGGGGGGGTGTCAGCGACAGCTGGATGCTGCTGGACCCCTCGCAGAGCCCGAAGCCCCCGGAAGGGTACAGGCCCACGTTCCCCGCGAGCCCCCACTGCCCTGGCTGGGATCGTTCCACCAACAGGGACCCGGGGTAGGGTCCATTTCCTCCTCACGGGGCCTTGGGTCTGCACCCTCTCCTCTGGCCTCAGTTTCCTCATCCAGCCTACTGTGAGGCGTCACGCCTGGACATCCCAGGAGGGGGAGTGGTCTCTTTGCAGGACCCCCCACCCATGACGGGGCTGAGCAGCCTCCAGCATCTGCGTCTGGGTGGGGCCGGGGCACCCGGGTGGCACCTGCCACGTCCTCACCAGCCCACCTGCCCCAGCTGTGCGGGACCTGCCTGTGGGGCGGCCTGTTGATATTTGAGGTGAGTCAACACGGCCGCTGTCAACAAAGCTGGGCAGGCCCGAGGCTCGAAGGAGTCACAGCCCCAGCACCTGCCGCTGCCTTCTGCCCCCACCCCCGCCACCTTCGCCCGCAGGCTCTTACCTGGGCCGCCCTTCCTGGGACCCCGGGGCGCTGAGCAGCCGGCAGATGCCAGGAGGTCGCTCTCCAGCACAGGCTGCGTCTGGGACATGGAGCGGCAGGTGGACCCCGAGGCTGAACCAGCCAACCTGTCCCTCAGTCTCGGAGCCGGCATGGGGAGGGCCACCCTCAGGGGCCGGCCTGGGGCCCAGGACAGGCCTCTTCCGGGACTGCCTTTCCCGACGTCCTGGGGCCCCCAGCGAAGGAGGAGGGGCTGGGCCAGCTGGGGTGTCCTGGAGTTGGGCCTCTGTCCCTGGAAAGCCGGGGCCTGCTGGCTGCCGACTGGGTGTCCTGGGCCCTGGGGAGGGGGTGGGAGCCCTGGGGCTCATGTGACTCGGGGCGGGCCTGGGGCTGCAGGTGGGGGAAGGTCTCCCTGCAGCCTGTGGGCGAGGCAGCCAGCTGTGTCCCCGTGATAATGCCGGGCCGGAGGCCTGCAGCTGCGCCCGCGACTTCCCCGACAGGAACCATCTGGGGCCCTGGCCTGCCCGGCCTTCCCTCGGGCCATTCCGGTCTGACTTTCCAACAACTTCCTCCTCCCAGCGGCAGCTCTGGTGAAGTCCCACCCACCGCGAGCCCCACAGCATGGCTGCTGGGCATGCGTCTCCTCAGCCTGGGCAGCTCTGCGCCTGGGGGCAGCTGCGTCCCGGAGCCCCTCTTCCCACCGAGGCTTGGCCTGGGGTCTCCCCCTCTCCGCCTCCCGCAGCCGGACTTTCCAGCACCCCTTTTACATCACCCCACTCCAGGGCCCTCCCCGCGCGTGTTCCTGTGGCCTTCGCCAGACGGTGCCTCTGACCAGCTGCTGGCGGTTCAAGGGCTCCCACCTGTCCTCGCAGTTCGCCACCTGCTGGGAACGACACCCTCTCTCTCTGCTCGGCCCCCTGTAGGGGCTCCAGGCCTCCGGGGGGCCTTGGATTGTACCCCAAGTCCCGGTGGCCTCCGGGGAGCAGCCTGGCAGCTCGGCCACGCTGCCCAGCATCCTGGAGTTTGCTGGGGCTCAGGGTGGGTGGCTCCTCCAGTCTGAGAAATTCCTGAAGCCGCCTCAGAGCCCTCCTGGGACCACTCAGACCCCAGGGAGAGCCCCAGAACCCATTTCTAGCGGCCGTTGGGTGAGAGGGAGGCACATCCCAGATGCTGGGAAAAAGCCACTCTCTGAAGGGCCCCGAGAACTGTCGGAGGGCAAGAGGGGCTTCCCGGGAGGGGACCATGACCCTCCGGCCCTGAGGCCTGGTTGGGTGGCGTTTCGGCTGCCGTGGCTGGAGGCTTCGTGGCCTCAGACCACAGGTGTGGAGCCCGCAGACTTGGCTGGTTCACGGGCATCAAGCTATTTTGATTTGATTTGATTTGATTTTTAGATCACGTCTGCACACAGTTAATAATTCGAACAGGACTCGGTCAAAGCTGACTCCTCCACACGGTCTCCAGGTGTCCCGGGTGCCCCGTCCTGGTGTTCGGGTGTCCTTCTCGGAGTTGGTGAGGACAAGCAGCATTCTGGGGCCGTGTCCCTCTTAGAGTCGGGGTGTGTTCATTCCTACTGGGGTGCAAGGCCCGCCCAGGCCTCCCCTGCGAGGGGTGGTGGGCCGCTGGGTTCCCAGGACTCAGGCTGGAGGGGACCTTCCTGCCAGCCCGGGGTCCCCATGGGCCCCCATGTCCCCTTCTGTTCCTTGGCATAAGGGTCTGGGGCCCTGACCCCCTTGGTTTCCTCACGTGCTCCAGCCCCAGCTCCTGTAGCCTTCCTGCTCAGAGGGCTGAGGGACCTCACAGGCCAGGGCTGCCGTGATCACACGGCTTATGTGTCCGTTGGTGCCTGTTCCCCCGCCGTGTGCAGTGGGAATCTTGGGAGTCGGGGAACTGAGGGTCTCAGGGAGGCGCAGCCCCGACGCTAAGGCAGCAGGACAGCACCCTGGCTGGGGCCCGTGGCCACCCCGCTGGGGTAGGAGACAGGCAGCCCCCCAGCCCTGAGGCAGATGTTTCAGGCCCACACCTGCAGCACCCCGCCCAACCCGCAGATGGGACAGTGCCACTCTTGCAATGAGGCCCCGAGCTCCTGCCCGGCCTGTCCTGCCTGTGTTCTGACCAGCGGGTCTGACGGAGGTGGGGTTGGAAAGAGAAGAAATTTGGCTCACGTCGGGGGACAGGAGCTGCCCCAACGTTGGCGGCCACCTGGGTGTGTGTGCGCCACTCCCTGCTCCCCGCTCCCCGCCCCCCGCCTCCTCTCCCCCAGGTCGGGCAGTTGGTGCTTGTGGGGAAGCAGACGTTGGCTGTGGCTTTCAGAGCCGGGCCGGGAGATAAGGGGTGAGGGAGGAAGTGGCTGCAGAGGTGGAGGCAGCAGGAGGGGCGCAGCTTCTCCCGGAGCCCCCTGCCGTCTGCAGCCGGCATCCAGCCTCCCGGGGCATAAGGGGCCTTTCCTTCCTTCCTAAAAGACCTGTTGGGGCCCACACTGGGATTCTGCTGGTGTCTCAGACAGCCCCAGGTCCTGGCCTCTGGGAACTACAGAAGATGCATTCCATCAGCATGTCCCCAGTATGGGCACCCTGCAGCTGGGGAAGCTGCCCCTGGGGAAGGACCATGTCCTCCAGGCAGAGAGGCCCTAAGGCAGGCTGCGGTGAATCTGCAGGATGGCCAGAGAGCTGGAGGGTGACAGAGAGCTGGAGGGGGCGGGCGAGGAGGCCTTCCCTTCAGGCAGCGTGTCTTATGTTTGCCTTCTCTTCCAGCCTGTAGGACGCCCCCACACACCCTTTACCACTGGATAAATAGATGAATGAATAAATTGATGAATGAACAGATGGGTGGATGAGTGGGTGGGTGGGTGGGTGGTTGGATGGATGGGTGAATGGATGGATTGATGACTGGATGGGTGGCGGATGGATGGGTGGGTGGATTGATGGGTGGGTGGATGGGTGAATGGGTGGGTGGATGGGTGGACAGATGGGTGGATGGGTGAATGGGTGGGTAGGTAGGTTGATGGGTGAATGGGTGGGTGGGTGGATGGTGGATACATAGGTGAATAGGTGAGTGGGTGGAGGGTGGGTGGGTGGATAGGTGGATCAGTGAATAAGTAGAAATATGGTTTTATGTAAGTTTCATGCCAGCCCACTTTACAGAGGAGGGAGGAGGCCCACGAGGGTGCCATCCCCAGTCACAAAGCCTGGAGAGAGGAATGACTGGCCATGTCCTGCCTTGGCTTCCTGGTCCTGAATACGGTGTGGACAGTTGGGGTGAGCCACAGAGGGAGGGGGTGTTCAAGGCTGCCCAGGTGAAGCAGCTGAGGCGCAGGCTGGAGACACCCCAACGGGAGCCCTGAGCTGGAGTCGGGGTCTTCACCTTCCTGGCGTGTGGGCTCCTGGGGCATCTAGTAAATAAATGAGTTCACAGAATTACCAAGGAAACCCATTTTACCAAAGTAGAGTTGCCACCCTGGGAAGACATTCTGGCGCAGGGAGGGCTGTGCTTTTCATGAGCTGTGAATTGAAGCGGAGGGAGTGAGAACGGCGTTCTGAGGTATTGCAGTGTGTGGAAGACGGGGGGTCTGTCGTGGAGCCCTGGACCCTCCCAAGGTGTGGCCGCTTGGGTCCCACAAAAGTGGCCCTGGGGCAGCTCTCTGGTGTCACCGTCACAGGCACGGCTGACACCCCAGGGACGGAGGTGCCCACGTTCATGGTTAAAGGAAAGGATAAATTCTAGTTACAGACCCTACTCATCAACATGAAACAACTTCCCATCCATGTCCACGGCTCCCCTGAACTCTGAGGAAGCAGCCACAGTCCCAGCTTATCTGGAAGGTGCCTCCCAGTCCCAGTTCACCACCCCCGCTTCCGGGAGTCTCCGGTGGGACAGCCGGCCCTGTAAGGGCTCCAAAGTCACACTCAGCGCTTCCTCTCTGTGCTGGGTGCACTTGGGCAAGTGTCTCTACCCAGTTCCTCAACTGTGAAGTAAGAAGGTGACGGTCGGCTGAATGGGGTGTGGTGAGGATTTAATAAAACAGTTTGGACTTTCGAATGGTGCCCGTGAAGGTGAGTGGGTGCCGAAGGGCAGCTGTGACCCCTGCAAGGTCCCCGAGCCACGAAGGTGCCAGCCCAGAGGAAGAGCGGAATCCCCGCACCGACGTCTGGGCCTGCCTGCCTCCGGGGCGGGCCCGTGGCTGCTAGAAAGCTCTTTCTAAACGGAGCCCAGCTTGGCGTCCTGTGGATGTGGGCCTCCCCGGGAGAGTGCTCTGGAAGGGAGGAATGGCTCTCCCTGCCCCTGCCAGCCCCACCACCACCTCCTGGAGTCAGCCTCAGCCTCCCGGCTCTGCAGCCTCACCCCTCCAGTGCAGAAAGACTTGCTTCCATGGCAGTGTGGCCACCAAACCCTCCTCTTAAACCTTCAGTGGCTGCCCATGAAGGCAGCTGGGGGCCCCACCATACTCTGCCCACTCCGCACATCAGAGCCGCTTCTCCCCAGCTGCTTCTCCTCAACTCTGGGCCTTCCCCGGCCCTCCCATAGAACCTTCCCTCACCTGGCGGGCTCCTACCCAACCCTCAGAGCCCTCAGGAAGTGCCCCATCCCAGGCTCCACGCCCTGCACGCTTCCATCCCAGCATTAGCACCTGGGGTTGCAGCTGGCGGAGTACCCGCACACCCATCTCTGGCTGCCCCGCGCTGCACCGGGAACTTCTCCAGGGTGAATTCCACCTCTCCTGCCCTCAGGACTCCCCTGGGGCTCTGCCCCCACACATCCGAGGGAACACAGAGGAAACAGCATCCCTCTGCTGCTTCTGAGGAGCAGGATGGGCTGAGTCTCCAGGCCACCCAAGGCAGCCTTGGGACCCCAGGGCGGCCCCCAAGGCCTGGGAGGCTCAGTGGCCTTTGACCAGACGGGAGGGGCTTCCAGGCGGGCAGTGGGTGTGGGGCGGAGAGCCGACCCGCTGTGCCCTTGACTGGCATCCTCCCTCGTGAAGGGCGTGGTGCTGAGCAGAGACAGGAATCCGAACATGGGACAGCAACGGCCTCACCCCCACTTCCCGCGCACCCTGGACTTGCCAGGACGCTGGTGACCTGGTGTCATCGGCTCGGCGTCTGACAGGACTGTGGGTCTTCCCGCCCAGAGGCCCAGGGAGGTTAAGCAATTTCCCAGGTGACCAGCAGTGCCCTGGGTGGGATTTGGGACCCAGGCTGACCGAAGGGCACTGAGGCAGCGAGCCCGTGGTGGTGACACCCACCCAGCTTCCAGGCCAGGGAGCCCCCCACCCACTGCAGTCTCTGCTCCTCCCCAGCACCCAGGAGGCATCAGGGCTGGGCAAGGCTGCCCCTTCTGCAGAACAGGAAGCTGAGGCTCCCAGAGGGGAAAGTCCCAACCCCCCTGGGGGTCCCAGGGTCCTAGGCGGCTGCACCCCAGCTGCAAAGGGGGAAGCCCCGCCTGGAGGCCACTTTCCCTGTAAGGAGCCTGGGCGGGGTGAGGGCTGCGACGTCCCAGTGCCAGTCCGGTTTCCCTCTGACTCAGGCTGAGGTGGCTGCCTGTGTGCTGAGGCCGTGTCCAGGCTGCAGGCCCCACACTGGCAAGCGGCCCCGTCTCATCTGGGAGCCCCAGAGGCCACGCTCTGCCGACCAAGGGCCGGTGTGTGTGCAGCGGGAGGAATGGGCGAGGGAGCCCCTGCCTGGGCTCGGGTGTGGCTTTTTCTTCTTGCTCTTTCTTTCCTGCCCTCTGTCCTGCCTGGGTGTTGGCAGCAGCTTAAGAGGGAAGAGGGTGGCCTTGGCCTACCTACCAATGTTCTAGAACATTCTGGAATATTCTGCTGGCAGCCTGGAGCCTGGGATCTGGGTAAACCTGGCCCATCGAGCAGCATCCAACTCGTGGGTAGAGGCAGCTGCCCGCCCTCCAGAGCCAGGGTGCCACCTCCCGTGCCTTAGACACCTGCCTCAAGCCGGGCCCAGCCCCTGCCTCCCACCGGTGGCTACTTCGGGCTGCGGTGGGGCCTGGCGTCATGGAATACCCATCTGGGTCTGGCCAAGAGGCACACGGAAGGGTCCAGAAGAATCCAGGAGTCTCGGGTTAAGAGCCACACGTCCTGACCTGCCCCAAACGTGAACTCGGCCCCTGAAGACCCCGTGTGACCCTTACGGCCCTGTCACTGCACCTTAGATCTGAATTGGAAGATAAATTGGAATGGATCCAATAAGAAAAAATGTTGTGTTTTGTTTTCACTATTTATTTGTTTACTTATTCTGACGCAGGGTCTTGGCTCTGTCGCGCAGGCCGGAGTGCAGCGGCGTGACCTCGGCTCACTGCAGCCTCCACCCCCTGGGCTCCAGCGGTTCTCCTGTACCAGCCTCCCGAATAGCTGGGACCGGAGGCGCCCGGCACCGCGCCTGGATAACTTTTTATTTTTTGTGGAGACAGGGTCTCGGTGTGTTGCCCAGGCTGGTCTCAAACTCATGGCTGGAGTGACTCTCCTGTGTCAGCCTCCCAAAGTGCAGGGATCCCAGGCGTGAGCCACGGCACCCAGCCTCATTGCTTTTTAATAGGTAGGTTCCTACTGACCCTGTTTTTAGACACACACAAGCTTAGAGAGCAGACAGGCTGGCATCAAGCACTCCGCCTCACTCAACTGCAAGCTCTTTAAACATCAGATGTTTCTACGGTGCTTTTGGGTCCCTGGCCTGCAGCAACCTTCCCACTCTGCCCATGTTCAGCCCTGACTCCAGACACCAAGAAGAAGGGGCCGGGGAGGGGGGTCCAGGGCTTCTCAGAGCGTGGTCCCCGACCCTGGGAACTTGTCAGAAATCCTTGCCCACCCAGGACCTGTGCAGGAGGCACCTGGAACTGTCCGGGGTCCGCTCCACTTGTCCCCGAGGGGACCTGGGGGAACGAGTGTGCCCTGGGGTCTACATGGAGCCAGGGTGAGGCCCACATGGTGACTCCGTCTCTGCCCGAAGGTGGGTGGAGGAACTTCCCTGAGGCTCTGGGCCCTCCCTGGGGTTCCAGCCACCTGACCTCAGAGCACGTGTCTGCGGCGCTTGGTGTGGGGGTGGGTCCAGGGTCCAGTCCCTTCCTGCTCATTGCCTGCACGCCTGACCCATCTAAGGGGGTCCAACCCCAGCGGCCTGAGAGGGCAGGGTCTTATCGGGAGGAAGTTGAAGGTCACGGAGGAGAAGCAGGGGTGGGGAAGACCGTCAGGCTAAACTCCCCCCTCCCCCCCATCTGGCAGCTCAGAGATGGGGGCGGGGAAGACCACCAAGCAGAATCCCCCCATCAGGCAGCTCAGGGGAGGGGGCTCTATGCCGGGTGTATCCCAAAGAGAGTGGCCGTTTGTTGCAGTCGTGACCCCCTGGACACAGCGTCATCACCCACAGGCCACACGACCTCAGGGTCCAGCTGCTGCTGTGCAGTGTGTGGTTTGGACGCACTTATCCCTGCACATCCTGTGGTCACAGCGGGATGTGAAGTTTGTCATTCAGCACCCAGGGAGGCTGCTCCTGCAGGTGGGGCTCTGGCCTCCACCTGACTTCCAGCTGCGCCCCGTGTCCAGGGACCCGCTCCAGCCCTCCAGTCCCACTTCCTCCCTTCCCTCTGCTCACTCAGCGCCTCCTGGAAGTCCCTTCTCACCAGCCCCCGGGAGGTTTGGATGCTGGGTCCTGGGGAAGGGGCCTTGGGGTCTATAGCAGGGCATCTGAGGGTCCCAGGGCACCCAGAAGACCCAGAAAGTCTGTGGGTGACTCAGCAAACCCTCAAATCAAGATATGGGGCGTCTCTCAGGCGTGCGCTGTGGGAGGGGTGGGATGTGGGGTCTGCCCGGAGTGAGGGTCTCGGCCCTTGTCTGCTCCTTGTCCCTCTGTCACTGTGTTCCCTCACAGCCTGGCACGGCCCACCCGCCTCCCACCTCTGCCCACGGCTCAGCCCGGCCTCTCAGACCCTCCCCCCCAGCCCTGCAGCCCCTCCTACTTTGTTTTTCTTGAATAGCAGGTGGTACTTTCTGATGTGCTGAATGTTGTTTACCGCCTGTCTCTCCCACGAGGTCAGCTCCAGGGAGACGAGCTTTTGCTTTCTTTCTTTTTTGTTTAAACAAACTTTATTTTTTCTATCAGCTTTAGGTTCACAGCAAAACTGAGCATGAAGTACAGAGGGTTGCCCTGCACCCCTGGCCTCAGAAACCCAAAGAGAGTGGCCGTTTGTTGCAGTCGTGACTCCCGGACACAGCGTCATCACCCACAGGCCACACGACCTCAGGGTCCAGCTGCTGCTGTGCAGCGTATGGTTTGGACGCACATATCCTGACGTGGACCCACGGCTGTGGTATCATGCAGAGTAGCTTCACTGCCCCAGGGCCCCCGTGCTCCTGCTACACATCCATCCCTCCCTCCCTCCCTCTCCGCAGCCCCCGGCATTGCTGATCTTGGTGCATCTCCACAGTTTTGCCCTTTCCTGGATGTCACAGAGTAGGAACCCTACAGGGCGTCGTCTTTGTTGCTGTGCTGCTTTCACTCAGCAGCGTGCAGCTGCCGGCCCAGCGTGCATTTACCGTCCCTCCGTGTCTCTCTTTTTTTTTTCAGACTGTGTCTCGCTCTGTCGCCCAGCCTGGTGTGCAATGGCACGATCTCTGCTCACTGCAATCTCTGCCTCCCAGGTTCCAGCGATTCTCCCCCCTCAGCCTCCCAAGTACCTGGGATCACAGGTGCCCACCACCATACCCGTCTGATTTTGTATTTTTAGTAGTGAGGGGGTTTCTTTATGTTGGCCAGACTGGTCTTGACCTCCTGACCTCGAGTGATCCACCTGTCTTGGCCTCCCAAAATGCGGTGATGACACGTGTGAGCCACCACGCCCCACCCCTTCGTGTCTTTTGAGGGCCTGGCAGCTCACTTATTTTCGCCCTCTGAAGGGCGTCCTGGTTGCTTGTGAAGAAGCTACTTTAACTCTGGCGTGCGAGTTTTTGTGCGGACACGAGTTTCCAGCTGGGCTGGGTGAACGCCATGGTGAAGCTGTCGGCTGCGTCTCTGTGTGTGGTATTTCCTGCTGCAGCCCGAGACCAAATAGCACACGGCACACAGACACCCAGCAAATCCCGAATTAATGCGCGAAGAAAGCGGTGACCCGGAGAACGCAGCCCTCCCCGGCAGCTCGCCAGGTCTCTCCTCGGCCCAGCTTCCCTTCCAGCCCCGCTGTGCTTCCTCCGGTCTCCAGGGCGGCCGCGCCGTTCTCCACGCCCGAGGGAGCCACAGGAGGCTGAGCTCACAGGCGTTCTGCCTCCCAGCAATGGAAACAAACCCCAAATTCGGAAGCAGCCACCGTTTGTGAGGCCCAGACCCTCGGTGGGGCGGGAGTCCGGAAGGGCACCTGGGGTGTCTTGTCTCTGCTCCACTGTCTGGAGACGTGGAACAAACTGGCCGGGAGCACGGTGGCCTGCGGCGCCGCCCCACCCACCTGGGTGCCTGTGGGCAGTAGGCAGCTGGTCTGGGCTTTGGGCTGGGGCTGGGACCACTGAGACACCCGGGGTACAGGGATGACAGAGTTTTCTGAGGACAGAGGCAGGGGCTGGAGCGATGCTGCCCCGAGCCGGGGAACGCCAGGATTGCTGCAGCCCCCGGGGGCGTAAGGGGCAGGGCAGCCGGAGCAACACCACGCTCGGGGCTTCAGCAGCAGAAACGGGCTTTCACGCAGCTGTGGAGGCTGGAGGTCAAGATCAAGGTGCTGATGAGCTTGGCTTCTTCTAGGCCTGGGTCCTTGTCTTTGCCGACAGCCGCCTTTGTGCGCTGCCCTTGCGTGGCCTTGCCCGCGTGCACGCACCTTTGGTGGCTCTGTAAGTCCGACTTTCTTTCTTTTCTGTTTTTTGAGACGGAGTCTCATTCTGTCCCCCAGGCTAGAGTGCAGTGGTGTGATCTCGGCTCACCGCAACCTCCGCCTCCTGGATTCAAGCGATTCTCCTGCCTCAGCCTCCTGAGTAGCTGGGACTACAGGCACGCACCACCACACCCAGCTAATTTTTGTATTTTTAGTAGAGACGGGGTTTCACCATGTTGACCAGGCTGGTCTCGAACTCCTGACCTCAGGTGATCCACCCACCTCGGCCTCCCACAGTGCTGGGATCACAGGTTGAGCCCCCGTGCCCGGCTGTAAGTCCAGGTTTCCTCCTCTTACAAAGACACCTGGGGGCCTGGGTCAGGGCCCCACCCGATGGCCTCTGTTTGACGGGATTTTCTATTTAAAGAACCTGATTCCAAACAGTCACATTCTAAGGTCCCATCAGGACGTCCACATGGGAATCTGTGGGGCAGCACTGACCCCATCACAGGATTCGTCGCTGGAGCCCTTGGAGGGGGCGGCCCTGCGGACACCTTGATTTCAGCCTGTGCACCCGAAGCTTCGATGGCCCACTTCTGTGGCTTCCAGCCCCAGGCTGCAGGGCTTTGCGTGCAGGACAACAGGGCGCCTGCCACTTGCCTGTTATTAGCCTCTGGTCCCATGTTGCAGGTGGGAAGCAGGGGTCAGCACTGGGGGATGGTCCCACTCCACGCAGGGTGACAGGTGCTCCTGGCTCCCAGCAATCTCCTTCCCACCCACCCGGTGTCTTGTGCATGGCGCACGCGTGTCCCGCAGGCCTGATGGGAGCTGGGAGCTGGCTTCTGGTCCCTGTGTGAGGTGGGATCTGACCGTACTGCCAGGGAGGCAGGCAGCACAACAGACCATGAGACGGAAGAGCCAAGCCGTGCGTGCAGTGGGAAGGGTGAGGCGCACGGTGTGACAGGGTGGGGAGGGCCTTAAGGGCAGACGGGAGGAGACACCGGGCACCCGGAACCCCCCGCATGGGTCCAGCCTCCTCTGGGGGGCGCAGTTCCTGCAGGCCCAGCCGAATATGCAAAGGCCCAGCTCCCTCTGCCCCGGACCCCCGCCAGTCCCGCAGAGCCACGAGAATTCGGTCACGGGGTCCCTGGAAGGCAAGGCCCTCCCTAATCTGGGCACCGGGGCCTCCCAGGTGGCGAGGACAGACTCCTAGGCAGGCTTGAGGCAAAAACATGGCACTCTGGGACGTATTTGGATGTAAATGTTTTCAGCATAGAGCAGCTGGGAGCTGCGGCCTCCGTGTGCGTGGGATCCGGGGCCATATGGCTCCTCTCCTGGCTGTGCTGCCTTCCTGGATTGGGGGCGCTGCCTGGCGGGGCCCTTGGCTCCTTGGGCCCCCAGGGGTGTCTGCCGGGGGTCCGACTTAAGTCCTGCCCGCCCCTCACTGGCTGCTGCCCGCCCTGCCATCTGTCAGGTGGGCTGAGACCGTGCCAGCCGCCCTGGCCATGAGGAGGCTGAGGGGCTTGGGCCTGGTGCCAGCCCGATGGGTGTGGGTGTCTGCAGCCTTGGCAGCATCGGGTAACTTCTCTCTCCCCACACTTGCCCTACTCCTGGTTGGGAAAGAGCCAGGTGCTCACCTGTGGCCCTGCATGATAAAACCACACAGCCGCTCATAGGGTCATCTTGGCAGGGGACCTTCCTGGCCACATAGAAGCCTCACAATTCCTGCCTCTTCTCTCCCATCTGAGGCAGCTCCTCCCAGAGACCCCGAGAGACACCTCGGACCCTGGGAGATGGGAGCAGAATTGTATCTGCCTGGACTCGTGGGCTGCCTCCCCTCTAGAACAAGCACTGGCTCCCCATCTACGTCGACTCAAGGCAAAGTCTGAGTCCAGCCCTCGCAGCCCCGAGCAAGCTGCCCTCCCGTGCTCTCCACAGCGGGGGCTTCCCGAAAGCCCCACCACTCCCAGCTCCAGCCGCCGACCTCGGTCACAGTTGTGGGGGATCTGGGCTGTGAGGCCCTGGGAGGGGGCCCAGTGCAGCAGCGGCAGACAGGGGCACTGTGGGGGGCTCCTCGGGGGGCTGCTGGGCCCTCTCCAGCTTCAAACGGAAAAACACAGGCTGGCGTGGGGCTATGCCCAAGGTTCTGGACGGGGTGTGTGAGTCAGGACTTCATCAAGGACCCCGACCTCCTTCCTCCCCTGCCCCCTCCCTCTCACAGTCAGTGACGTCACAGGGACCCTGCCCGCTCCCTCTCACGCCCTGCCACGGCCCCTGTCCAGGCTTGCTGCCATCTGGCCTGTCTCATGATTCCCAGGTGGCTCCTGCAGCCCCAGGAACCTCAGCTTCTGACCACCGCATTCAGGAAAGGAAGAGAAAGAGCCGGGGAGGAAAGTCTTTTCCAGAAACCCCCGTGCCGTTCTCTGCTTTCAGCGGACGGGCTAAGCCGGGTCTGGCGGTCGTGCCTGGCTGCCAGGAAGGTCCTGTGGGGTCCCTGCCTTTCTGGGGCATAACAGCGAGAGCTCAGAGGGAACCGAGGGGCCGCAGCCAGGAAAGGAAGGCCAGAGCTCCCCCAGGCCGAGTGGGGCCTGAACGCTGCTGGGCCAGCTCTAGTCGGCAGGAGGCCAGCGTGCTGTGCTGGGGGCGGGCACAGACCCTGCGTGTGGGCCTCAGTGCCAGCGCCTGTGCTCTGTGGCTGAGGACGGGGCTTCCACAGCCCCCCACCCCCCAGGTGTGGACAGCAGGCTTGGAATGCTGGTGACGGGCCCGGGGGCTTGTCCTGGAGGCCCTCGGGCTGCTCTGTTAGACTCAAGACACGCAAAGCATGAGAGCTTCTTGCACCAGAGGCCTGGGGCAAGTTGCCACCTGCAGAGCGGAGACGCCCTCCTCTTCCTGCTGAGCCCGGGAGGCTGCAAGGCGCGGGTCCACAAGCACTGCTTCTCCGAGGAGGCTCCCTGCGGAGCTGTGTGGGTCCTTCTCACTTTCCCTCCACCTGGGGCTGCCCTGCTCCCCGGCCTAGCTTGGAGGGATGAGACAGCAGCTGGCTGGGAGCCCTGTGAGCCCTCACTGAGATGGGGACCTTCAGCTGTACCCGCTTCTGGGCTGTCGCTGACAGTGCTGTTCCTTGCCTGGCTGCTCTGAGGCGTTCAGAAGAGGCTCACTTCCACACTTGCCCTGGAAATCCCAATTTTTGCTTTAAAATGCAGCAGTGGCGGGGGGAGGTGGCTCTTGCTTATAATCCCAGCCCTTTGGGAGGCCAAGGCGGGTGGATCAACTGAGGTCAGGAGTTCAAGACCAGCCCTAACACGGAGAAACCCCGTCTCTACTAAAAATACAAAATTAGCCGGGCGTGGTGGTGCATGCCTGTAATCCCAGCTCCTCGGGAGAGATTATCACTTGAACCTGGGAGGCAGAGGTTGCAGTGAGCCAGGATCTCACGACTGCACTCCAGCCTGGGCAACAGAGCGAAACTCTGTCTCAGAAAATAAATACGGCCGGGCGTGGTGGCTCACACCTGTAATCCCAGCACTTTGGGAGGCCGAGGCGGGCGGATCACGAGGTCAAGAGATCGAGACCATCCAGGCCAACATGGTGAAACCCCGTCTCTGCTAAAAAAAAATACAAAAATTAGCTGGGCGTGGTGGTGCGTGCCTGTAGTCCCAGCTACTTGGGAGGCTGAGGCGGGAGAATTGCTTGAACCCGGGAGGCGAAGGTTGCAGTGAGCCGAGATCACGCCACTGCACTCCAGCCTGGCACCGGGCGACAGAGTGAGATTCTGTCTCAAAATAAATAAATAAATAAATAAATACATGAATACAATGCAGAGGCCCTGGTCCCTGCAGCTGCCCCTTGTACCACAAGTACCACTGTTCATCTGAACGCAGCGCAGGGGTGGCGTTTCTTTCGCGTCCCCAGCCCCTGGAATTGTACCAGGCAGAGCAGGTGTTTGTACATGTTTGTAGAAGGAAAGAATGAACAATGCCTCCTGACATGGGCCCAGGAAGCCCCACATGACACACGCAGCACACGCCTGATCACACGTGGGCGCTGGGGGACGTGACACAGCACACGCCTGATCACACGTGGGCCCTGGGGGACATGACACACAGCACATATCTGATCACGCATGGGTGCTGGGGGACATGACACACAGCACATATCTGATCACGCATGGGTGCTGGGGGACGTGACACAGCACATATCTGATCACACGTGGGTGCTGGGGGATGTAACACACGCAGCACACGCCTGATCACACATGGGCGCTGGGGGACATGACACAGCACATATCTGATCACACGTGGGTGTTGGGGGATGTGACACACACAGCACATGCCTGATCACACATGGGCGCTTGGGGACATGACACAGCACATATCTGATCACACGTGGGTGCTGGGGACGTGGTATGTGTTTGCTTGTTTGTAAACCAGTTTTTTCTTTCCAGACACACTGGAGTCCCCTCTGGGTAGGAATTTGTTTCCCCACAACTCCAGACCGCAGCCCACAGCCAAAGCCAAACACAGAGTGGCGCTCTGCGGGGCCCACGGCCACCTGGTGGCTGCGATCTCAGGCTGCCCAGGCTATTGGGTCACACAGAACGTGGCGGCCTCATGGATCCTGGGGGCGAGGCCTCCGCATGCAGGTGAGGCGCCTGGCTTCTCCCTGGGCCCGCTGAAGCTGTGATGTGGGGTTCCCTGACCACCCGGGCCTCAGTTTCCCCACCATGCTACAGGGAAAATAGTGTGTTGTGAGAGAAAGCAAGTTGTTCTCTGCAGAAAGCATCTGGGGCCGGGATGGCTGGGGCCAGGCTGGGGTTGCTGCTGGTGGCCGGCTGGCCTTGGGGACGGTTTCCTGGGCCACCTCCCATGCCACCCCCGGGGTCAGAGTCTCTGCAGGGTGGGGTTGGGGCTCTGAGTCTGCAGACAAATCCACTTCCGGCAGCCGCGTGGACTTCCCCAGGCTGCCCAAGGTGGCCCGAGAGATACGGGCAGGGGCTGGGAGCTTTTCTGCTGTGACAGGGGCAGTTGGCCCGGCTGGCTTGACCTTCTGCCAAGTTTATCTCCCACGGCCCAGCCAGGCCACCTCCTTATCACGGCCACAGTGAGCTGGGGGCGAGGGTCACAGCGTCAGGCGCCCCTGCAAGAGGCTTCTACCCAAATCCCGGCCACCCCAAGGCGCTCCTTCCCCACGGGCACCCGAGAGCCTCCCATCCGCTGCCGGGGTGGGCTATGGGCCCCAAGGGTGAGAGCCTCGTCCCCTCCGCTGCCTGCGGCTTCCTCCCTCCCCCACGGCTCAGGGCTGTTTTTCTCTCACACCTGTGCTCCGAGTCGGTTCACATCAGCCCCCGAGTCTAACCGAACCCAAAAATATTAAGCCAGGGCCCATCTGTCAGCCGACTGATGAGCACAGATGTGCTCCGGATTTCAGGAGGCCGACAGCCGGTCAGGGCTGTTAGGAGAGGCACCTGCTGCCCCGGCCCCCTGTGCCCTCGTGACCCTCAGCCCCTCCCAGCCCTGGGAGCCTCTGGAAGGGGCCTGCCCCACCAAGCAGGAGGAGTGTCCTGGGGCCCCCACAGGAGCCAGGCCCACCAGCTGGGACCCTTTGCCGTGAGTCTCTGCTCAGAAGCTGGCCTGGGGCTGCCGCTGGGCAGGGGCATGGTCTGCTCTGGGGTCGTCACCACCTTGGCACTGGCTTGCCTTTGCCTGCAGCACGTCCCCAGGGGCCCCAGAGCTCCTTGGCTGGGTCCAAACAATACATTTGCAGCTTGCTTTGGGTTCACATGAGGGTCCCTTCTGGCTGCTTCATGTAACAGATGCCCTTACTGCTCTTATTTCCAGAAGGAAGGGGGAGAGAGCAAAGCAAACACCCCTCCCTCCTCCCTCCCTCTTCCTACCCCCTCCCTCCTCCCTCCTCCCTCCCTCTTCCTACCCCCTCCCTCCTCCCTCCTCCCTCCCTCTTCCTCCTTCCCTCTTCCTCCCTCCCTCTTGTTCCCTCCTCCCTCCTTCTCCCTCCCTCCTCTGTCTTCCTCTTTCCCTCCCTCCTCCCTCTCCTCTCTCTGCTTCCTCCCTCTTCCCTCTCTTCCCTCCTCCCCTCCGTCCTCCCTCCTGCCATCCCTCTGGCCCTCTCATCCTCCCACACTTCCTCCTGTCCTCCCTCCTCTCTTCTCCTTCCTCCTCTTTCCTCCTTTCCCCTCCCTTCCTCCTCCCTCCCTTCTCCTCCTCCCTCCTCCCTCTTCCCGCCTTCCTCCTTCCTCTCCCTCTTCATGTAGAATCTCCGTTCCTTCCCCTCCCTTTCTCCTCCCTCCTCTACTCTTTCTTCCTTCTGTTTCCCTTCTGTAGGAGCCAGAGACAGATGCCCAGTGAGGAGGCTGTGGTTCAGGAGTCTGAGGTTGGGGCTGGATGGGGGGAGGGGGTGTGGCTGGTGGCTGGGAGAAGCTGGGAGGAGCTGGGAGGGGCTGGGAGGGGCTGGGAGGGGCTGGGAGGGGCTGGAAGGGGCTGGGAGGAGCTGGGAGGGACTGAGAAGCTGGGAAGGGCTGGGAGAGGCTGGGAGGAGCTGGGAGGGACTGGGAGGAGCTGGGAGGGGCTGGGAGGGGCTGGGAGGAGCTGGGAGAAGCTGGGAGGAGCTGGGAGGGGCTGGGAGGGTCTGGGAGGGACTGGGAGGAGCTGGGAGGGGCTGGGAGGGGCTGGAATCTGGCTGTAGCTGGGGAAGAAGCAACAGGACTGTCTGGCAGATGAGAAAAACCAAGGTTCTCTGGAGTGGCCAGCCCTGCCCCTGCCCCAGAGGGTGCCCCCCTGACACCTGTGCCTGAAGCTGTCCTGTGATCAGCACCTGTTCAGCTCCAGGGACGGCTGAGGGGGCCTAGGACCAGGAGTGTTGAGGCCTCAGTGGGAACGGGCCTGTCCAGGGTCCTGGGGGCCAAGGGCACTGGCGCTGAGGCCGGCTCAGCCTTGCTGGACAGGCGGGAGGCCTGTCCACCCCTCCGCTCCCTCCGCTCCCTCTGCTCTTGCTGCTTCTCCCTGGGCACCAGGGCTGGGCGGCAGCGTGGGCTTCACTCCCTTCACCTCTTGGATGGATGAGGTCACTGAGGGCCAGGGTCTCCCAGGCAGGAAAAGACGGCACCAGAATTGGAACCCAGTGCCTGCTCTGTGTGCCAGGCACCCACGACTGCGGTCCCCAAGTGGCTGAGCTGTGGGACCCGGACGAGGCCTCCCAGCAGCAATCAGGGCCCTGAGCCGGGTGGCGCGGAGGCCACAGTCACAGGTCTCGCCAGGGGCTTTGGGCCAGGCTCCGCCACCAGAACCCGGGTTTGGGAACTGGCTGGGGGCCCCTGGCTGTCCCCCAACCCGCAGAAGCCTCACTTTGCTCATTCCTGAAACGGGGATCAGAAGAAGCCAGTTCTCCTGATGTTTACCTGAAATCTGCCCAGGCGTGTGGCCTTCGAGCCTTTCCGAGCAGAGTCTTATTCCATCTTAATATGCACACGCTCTTGTGTGTCCGCAGACGACACACATATGCCACTTAGATGCGTGAGAGTCTGTGTGATTCGTGAGCGTCAGCGGAGAACCTCTGTTCACCTCACACGCTGCCGAGAGCGGCCTTCCCTTCCCCTTGGAGAAGTGGCTACTATTTAATTTATTGTAGGATTTCTTTCTTTTCGTTTTTTTCCGAGATGGAGTCTCGCTCTGATGCCCAGGCTGGAGTGCAGTGTTACAATCTCAGCTCACTGCAACCTCCGCCTCCCGGGTTCAGACGATTCTCCTGCCTTAGTCTCCTGAGTAGCAGGGATTACAGGTGCCTGCCACCACCCCTGGCTAATTTTTGTATTTTCAGTAGAGGCAGGGTTTCACCATGCTGGTCAGGGTGGTCTCGAACTCCTGACCTCGTGATCTGCCTGCATCGGCCTCCAAAAGTGCTGGGATTAGAGGTGTGAGCCACTGTGCCCTTGGCCCAGGAGAAAACAGAGCATGTGGGACACCCTGGGCCCCTGCGTCCTCCACGGCTGCCCAGGGAGGGGGGCGGCTTCAGCCCCACCTCGGGCTGCGATCACGTCTCTGCCGTCTATCGCTTCACGTCTCCGTGTGCGTCCGTCCCTCATCACAGCGTGACGTGCCTGTGTCAGGACTGGACGCCTCTTCTTCCACCTTGGCTCTGAGCTGTTTCGTGTGGTGGGTGAGGCTCATGCTCCCACGTTTGCGCCACATGGTGCCGTTTTAGGAGACGCCGCCTCACTTTGTTTGTCTGTTCCGTGGGGTCGCTGTGGGATGATCACAGTCACAAACTGTGGCATCTGAGGAAGCATGCCCTTGGCCTCTGCCCCAGTTCCCAGCATGGTGCTCCTAACCCTTAGCATTTCCGGGATGCCGGGAGCAGCTTCCGCTCTATGAGGCACCCGTGGGGGCTCCTGGATGGCGGCTGGACACTGAGGAGCCCCTAGGATAAGAAGCCGGGAGCTTGCCATTGCCCCTGGGGAGAAGATGGTGGACGTGGAGGTCATCAGGGGTCATGCTTACGTGATGCAGCCTCCAAAGAAACCCCTAAGAGATGGAAGACGGGACTTGGGAGCGTCCAGGGTGGAAACGCATCAGTGCCGTGGGGGCGGCCAGCGCCACTCAGCAGGGTAGAGCTCCAGCGCTTGGGCAGCTTCCAGACCCCGCCCTGCAGATACCTTCCTGAGAGTCCTCAACAACGTCCTCCATAATAAACCGGTCCATTTAAGTGAGTCCTGTGAGCTGGCCTGGCACATACCAAACTGGGAGCCGGGGCTCACTGGAACCCCGATTTATAGCGGATCAGTGAGAAGCATGGCCTGATCCTGAGACGGGCGCTGTGTGGGGGCAGGCTGTTGGCCGCCCCCGGCCACCGGGGTCTATGGTGACTCGATTTAATCAAGCTGAATGGTGGGCACCCCTCTGTCCTCCACAGAGAGCCAGAGACTGGGTCAGTGGGAAGCCCTCTGCATCCAGGGCTGGAGTGAGCCGCTGTCTGAGCATGGAGTTGGTTCCCTCTTCCCAGACCTGGGGCCTGGCATCTGGGCACACACAGTCTCCTTGTGTGCAGGGGGCACCTCGGCCTAGGGCCTGTGTCTCTGAGTGGGGCCTGCGCCTCTCAGGACCCGCACTTTCCATTATATTCTATCTCATTGAAAATTGCTGGTCAGCTTTCTAAATGGGCCTGTGTCTCCTGCAGGGATTGGTCACCTCCCACAGCCTGACAAAGGCTGGCCTACGGGTTTGGGGAGGGACGAGGGCTGGCCCTGGTGCACAGGGGACCCCAGCCCTGTCCTGGTCACCCAACCCCTCACCCCCACTAGCCATCAATAAAAGGGCAGCCCCTGGCCTAGGGGGTCATCTGGGACCCTGTGCCACCCCCAGGTGACAGCCGGAGTCTGCTCTGATGGCTGGTGTGGGAGTCTCCTGGAGCTGCCGTGAGAAGCACTACACACTGGGAGCCTCAGCAGCAAGGATTTGTTCCCCCACGGCTCTGAGACCAAGCTATCTGCAGCAGGGTCATCTGCTCCAGGCTTCTCTCCAGGTTCTGGAGGTTTGTGGGCAGTCTCTGGTGTGCCCGGGCTGGTGGGCGCATCACCACGATCTTGGCCTCCGTCTTCACGTGGCGTTCTCCCTGCGTGCACATCTGAGTGTCCGCACCCGCCCTTTCCAGAAGGAGACTAGTCCTACGGGGTGAGGGCCCACCCTAGTGATCTCACCTTCTTTCTCATCGACGAAGACCCTGCTTTCAGTAAGGCCATCGTCTGTGTTATTGGGGTTAGGACTTCAACTCATAAATTGTTGAGGGGCTCCATCCACCTTGTAAGGTAAACCTCCTGGGCCCCACGTTCTCAGGTGGGAGCATCTCCCCTTGGGCTTCCCGGAGCCAGCGCCTGTGGCGGCTGAGGGTGGAGTAGGATTTTGACCCTTGAGAAGGGGCTTGGCCCTTATTAGGTGCAACCCTCCTGAGTGCAGCCACGGGTGGAAAAGCCTCCCACACCCATTTGCCAGTCTTCTGGGCTCCTGGCCTTGAGCCATTCAAACCAGTTTCACCCAAATGGCTCAGATGAACCCCAAGAAGCTGGTCACACTGGATTGGGCCAGTAATATGGGTTTTGAGACTGAGTCAAGGCAGTACTTCTCGGCTGCCTGCGCTGGTGCCTGAATGTTACTGATCTGGGCTGCCGCACACACCAGCCTCCAGGGCATTGGATCCCAGCCCGGCCAGGGCTGCGGGAGCTGATGGGAGGCTGGAGCTGGAGCAGTCACCAAACCACAGATCAGGGAAGCTTGGGAGCGCCACACAGGATAGCACAGCAAGAATATGGCAAACAACGAAAACCCACACCTAGGCACATCATGTTCAAACTGCAGAAAACAAAAGACATAAAAACATGAAAAGAAGTTGAGGTGAGGAGGGGACTGAGCGTTTTACATAGTTAAAGCCAGAGAAGGCAGGAAAAGATGGAAAAAGGAAGACTCTTCAAAGGGAGAAGCAGAATCCAAAATGTCCACAGCACGTCATTTTCAACACTCAACATACAACTACAACACGACTGGACACGTAGAAAAACAGGAACGCATACCCAACGTCAACAGCAAAAACAGTTACTAGTAGTAGACACTGAGATGGCCCAGATGCCACAGTTAGTAAGAACTTTGAAGCAGCTACTAGAAATGTGCTCAAGTGGCCTGGTGCGGTGGCTCATGCCTGTAACCCCAGCGCTTTGGGAGGTGGAGGTGGATGGATCATCTGAGGTCAGGAGTTCAAGACCAGCCTGGCCAATGTGGTGAAACTCCATCTCTACTAAAAATAGAAAAATTAGCCTGACATGGTGGTACGTGGCTGCAATCCCAACTACTCGGGAGGCTGAGGCTGGCAAATGGCTTGAACCTGGGAGGTGGAAGTTGCAGTGAGCTGAGGCCATGCCACTGCACTCCAGCCTGGGTGACTGAGTGAGACGTTGTCTCCAAAAAAAAAAAAGAGAGAAATGTGTTCAACGGCCAGACATGGTGGCATGCACCTGGAGTCCCACTACTGGGGGAGCCAAGGTGGGACAATTGGTTGAGCCTGAAAGGCCGAGGCCACAGTGAGCTGTGACATGTGACGGTACTCCAAGCTGGGTGGCAGAAAAAGATGGTGCATGTAAATAAATAAATCAATCCCAGTCCTCACTCCAAAAGAAATGTGCTCAACCCCTTAACAAAACATGTGATCGCGATGGGTGAACAGACAGGGCTTCACAGAAGAAAAAGAAACAGACATCCCAGAACTAAGAAGCATCATACCCAAAATAAGAAATTCGCTGGGCCAGGTGCAGTGGCTCACACCTGTAATCCCAGCACTTCGGGAGGCCCAGGCAGAGGGATCATTTGACATCTGAGCCTAGGAGTTTGAGACTAGCCTGGGCAACATAATGAGATCTTATCTCCAGTAAGAATTTAAAAATTAGCTGGGTGTGGCAGCATGTGCTTGTAGTCCCAGCTACTCTGGAGGCTGATGCGGGAGGATCGCTTGAGCCTGGGAGAACGAGGCTTCAGTGAACCGTGATCACGCCACTGCATTCTGGCCCGGGTGACAGAGCAAGACTCTGTCTCAAAACAAAACAAAATAATTGCAGTGGATAGGCTTAACAGCATATTGCAACTGTAGAAGAAAAGATGAATGAAACTGAAGACGGAGCAGTAGAAATCATCTAAAGAATAGAAATTTTTAAGACAATGAGAAAAGAGACAGAGCCAAGCGATCTATAGAACAATGTAAAACTTCCAACTGCATGTGTGTGGTTGGAGTCTCCGAATGAGTGGAGAGAGAACTTGGAGCGCACACTATTTAGAGAAATACTGGCCCAAAGTTCCTTGGATGTAGTGAAAAGCATCCGTTTATAGACCCAAGAAGTTCAGCTAATTTCAAACAGGATCAATAGAAGCGGCAGCACAGTCAAACTGCTGAAAACTAAAGAAAATTTGGGGCCGGGCGTGGTGGCTCAAGCCTGTAATCCCAGCACTGTGGGAGGCCGAGGCGGGTGGATCACGAGGTCAAGAGATCGAGACCATCCTGGTCAACATGGTGAAACCCCGTCTCTACTAAAAATACAAAAAATTAGCTGGACATGGTGGCGCGTGCCTGTAATCCCAGCGACTCAGGAGGCTGGGGCAGGAGAACTGCCTGAACCCGGGAGGCGGAGGTTGCAGTGAGCCGATATTGCGCCATTGCACTCCAGCCTGGGTAACAAGAGCGAAACTCTGTCTCTAAAAAAAAAAAAAAAAAGAAAATTTGGAAAGAAGCCAGAGAAAAGGGCAGCCGGAGGTGCCAGACGCTGGTGCCTGCTGGTTGGAAACCTCACCAGAGGGCGGAGGGCAGAGCAGTGAAAACCATGAGCCGCCCTCAGTGCTCCGTATCCAGCATAAAAATCCTCAAAAATCCTTGATGAAGATGAAGGCAAAATAAAAGCTCTTTGAAGTAAATGAAAGCTGAGAAAATTTGCCGTCCTAAGAGCCCCCTGACAAAGCGTGCTAACGCCACACCATCGGCACAAGGTAAGGACCTCGCCGGGCGGGCGGGGGGTGACAGGCCCAGTGTGACCTCGCAGGGCAACTGTCCACTCCTCGTCATCCCTTTTAAAGGGCAAATCTGCTGCTGTGTGTCCAGCATCAGGCGCTTCGTGGGGTCTGAGTGGTAGAACATGTTGTGGAGGTGGAAAAGTTCCTTTTTAAAGTTTCCTTCTTGTTAAAGAGCAAGTGTGCTAATAGCTCTGTGAAGCCCTGTCCTGTGTAGCTGTCAGACACGCCGTGCTCACAGGCACGTGGTACATTCTGTGTCCTGGTACTTCAACCGAGACATCTGTGCTGGGCGTGCTCACAGGCGTGCCCCAGCTCTCCACTGCTTTTACCTGTTTAGAAAGTTGTAAGTTGTTAGCCACTCGGGTTTTAGTGTAGATTGTGAGGTCTGGCTCCAGCCAACGGAGATCAGACACAGCAGCAAGGAGGACCCCACAGGCGTGAGGGATAAATTTGTCTATTTTCCTTTGTTCATTGTACTCTCACGGCAAGATGGCTAGCGAGGGTCCCCTTCCTGCAGCCCAGGGAGTAAAAATTGCATTGCCGAAAACTCCTTTGTCTCAGTGCTGATTTTTCTTTGTGTCACCGAGCATCTCTTTCCAACAATGTGAGGGGAGGAGCGTGAGGCATTGGGGTGGGAGAGGAAGGCCATTGCTGCAAAAGGTTTGGGTGTCTCGTCAAACGCTGCCACATCATCAGATGTCTCTAGAAACAGAAGTGAGTCTGGACTTGGGTGTGCAAGACGTTTAGGACCAGCACGTGCGAAGGGAAAGGGTAGGGCTGACGTGTGGGCAGGTACCACGAGGCTGTGTGACCCCATGGGGAGCTCTGGTGCACACAAGGCCCATCCAGTTGGCACGTGCGGAGGCTGCACACCCCGGCCTTCATCGGTCACTAGACGACATCTTTCTGGGAAGGGCAGGGCGTGGGAAAGGTGGCTCTGAAGGTGAACGGGTGCCCTGTGCTTCCAGGAGCCATCTGAGCAGCGCGCCTCGCCCAGCACCAGCCTCAAAAGCAGACTCCAGGGAGGCCACGCTGTCTTCTCTCCTGCTGCCACATGTCCACCGTCCCTCCAGATGGACCCGTCCTCAAATGTCCCCTGCACCCACACGCACCTCCGCCCCTGGGCTGGGGCATCTCCCATGCCCGGGGCTTCCTCTGATGCCCCCACCTCTGTCTGTGCCCCTCCTCCTCCAGATCCAAATTGCTCAAGGCCAATAGAGTGACTCTCACCATGTCTCCGGTGTGTGGCCAGTGGTGCTGCAGCCTCAGTGCGCTGTTGGAGGTGACCCCAGGCCCGCTGCTTCCTCGTGGGGAACAGAAGACCCAATGGAGACCCTCAGCAGCCTGCAGAGAGGAGAAAGGGCCCTTCCCAGCCTCCACCTATCTCCTTCTAAGGATGGGAGCCCCATGGGTGCTCTGCCAGCTTCTAGCACCTCCTGTTCTTCAGAGAGAATTCTGGAAAATAAAAAATCCTGACCAACACGCAGCCCCATGGATACCCAGAGTCCCGATTTTTAAAGCAATCTCAGCCACCTCCATCCCGGCTTCTGCTCTGGTGAGGCCTATGGTTGGCACTCATTGTTTAAGAAGAAGACAGAGAAGTGGACCTGCCCATCCCCCATGGGTGGGCTCCACACTCCATTCGGCCCCACCGAGGAGGGAACATGTGGGTCAGGAGGGCTGGGATTGCTGCAGGGGCAAGATTCCCCACTGGACACAGCCATGGCTTCCACGCGAGTTGGACAAGTCCGCTGTCCTCCTCCCGGTGACTCGGGGATCCAGGATGCGGAGATCTGAAGCCACAGCCTCTGCACCTCAGCGAGGAGGAGGGGCGCTTACTGCATGGCTGGGAGAGGTGCGAGCAGAGCGTGCTTGGGGAGCACCACGCTGCCCGGCTGCCGCGGGTTTCCTGGGCTCAGCACCCGGGAGCCTCCTGCACTCGGGCCCGGCACCCCCCCAGCTGCTGGCACTCCACCTCATTCCTGCGTTGGGGGAATTCATGCGGGCGGAGGCTCCAGGCTCTCGGCTACAGACTCAGAGTGGATTGGATCCTGCTATCTGCCCATGAGGGGCTGCAGCCAGGCAAGGGTCCGTGTGTGTCCCCTGGCTGAGTATCAACGCACCAAACTCTGGGGCCATGACGGTGGAGGTTCGGGCTGTCACAGCCTGCAGCTGGGAGCCTCAGACGGAGGTGCGGGCAGCGCTGGTGTCCTCTGAAGGTGCTGGGAGAGGCCCCTCCCTCCTCCACCATCTCCCGGGGATCCCTGGCTGGTGGCCCTCACTCCATCTCTGCCTCTGTCCGCAAGCAGCTGCTGTCCCTGCAAGCCTGGCTCCATCCCACTAGTCTTCTAACGGCACTGGCCATTGGATTTGGGGTCCACCCTCCCCGGGACGGCCTCATCTCAGGATCCTTCACTTCAGCAAAGACCCTTTTTCTGAATAAGTGCTCTGGGTTTCAGGATATGTCCAGTGACAACATGAAACTGGGAGCTGGGGGATGCAGGAGCCGGGCTCAGCAGGGATTGGGCTGTGGGCTCCAGCCCCCTCTACCCATCCCACGTGCCTGTCTTGCTGAATGGGCACGTGAGCGTGTTCTAACCCCTGCCTCTCAGACAGGAGGGGCAGCACAGCGGGCAGATGAGCCGGGCACTTGCTCAGTGCCAGCTTGGCCGGTCGAGGGGCTAGGCAAGTCACGCGCCGCCTCTGTTCCACTTCTGCCTCCCATGACGAGCCACAGCAGGGTAGCCGTGAGTGAAAACCACTTGGAACCTCAGTTTCCTCATCTGAGAGGAGACAACTGAGTCTCTCTCAGGATCAGGCAGGCATGGAGGAGACGGCGAACCCGCTCAAAACCACCCCATTCCACGATTGAGGTGGGCTATGTCTCCCACACCTGGCTCAGCCCCACCATCAGGGGCACACGCTGGCACTGGGAGGGGGTCCCTCAGAGGGGGCTGGGCTGG